GTACGGTCCGTCCTTTGTTCGGCCACCCCAAGAACCACAGCCCGATAGTCATTCTTCAATATGAATTTTGCCGTCCCACATAGAAACACAGTTTAGCTTGTCGTCATCATGCCAAGATGAGGGAAAAAGGAAGTGTCGCAGATGACAGACGATGCAGCCCAAAGATCAATAGGAGAACAGCTGACGTTCCTTTTCCCCCTCCTTCCTGGGCACAACCCAATCACGCTGCCATGGGCTACTCCATAACGTTGAAGGATATTCACTGTGAAGAAACTACTACTGATGATGGTAAGTATAATCGACTGTTGGTTTTCCTTTCAATAGGATTGGAGGTATCAGTGTGACAAATACCATATTATGGAGTTTATGTACAGAGTAGTCGGTGAAGTATTATATGTCAATCATCCTCTTTCTCTTTTTTTTTTTTTTTTTTTTTTTTGTTAAAAACTTCGTTAGTGTTTCTTCGTTAAAATCTACTCTGGCGAAGGGCTGGCCTGGTGTGGGGGTCTGCTTTGTTTCGTTCCGTACAGAGATTGGCCTGTTTTGCAGGACACTTGGCTACATACCAATACGAGGTGGCCGCCCACACACCTCATCTCATGCCGAATTTAAGATCTGGACAAGTGATGTGATACTGATCCTAGATAGAAGGTATACTAGAGTGATCATACAATCAACCTAGAGGGAGGAAAGGAAGATAGCCCAGCTCACAGGTAGCTAATAACTTGTCCGCTATACTTCCTGCAAGGTCTTCAATACCTGTCATGTGAAGCGGGCATGGTACCCAAATTACCGACTACGTATTTATGTACAGTTGTGTCCATCTGCTCCATGCTCACTCATCCTCCGGATCTTCGTCGCCGAGACCCGATGCATTTTCTGCTGTTGCTAATCTGCCTTAAGTAGTACACCACTGTTCTCTATGACGTATCCAACACAAATTTAGTCCCAAAACGCCAACTCCATCAGGATTTACTTTGCTTATTGTGTACTTTGACAGGTTAATCGACAACGCTAGTGGCCTGACGATTCATCCTGCTCGTCTTCTGCACTGACAAATGACTCCAGATCACCCATACATTCATTAATTTAATTGAGTTGTTTCTATTATCCTAGAACCATAAAAGAAGGATTTGGGGGTACATGCAATTGGGGGCCATCAGCCCATATCCAGCGGCATTGGTTAAAGAATTTGATATTGTATTCGTCGGATTAGCGAAACGGGGGTTAGATGGAATATGACTATTTAGGTAGGTCCACAAGATTCATATGGGAAAGGACAGGGAAAAGGGAAAAGGGCCGGCGAGATACCATGGAGAACCTCCGTCCAGCCAGATCAAGTCATAACGCCAATCCCCACAGGCAATAACAAGAAGGAGATCGACTTACAATGCAATGCAGAGATGTGTTGGCAGATTCTGCAGATTAGTATCTGGACTGCGTGTTGTGAATGAATGACTCTTGCACCTGTAGATACAGACGCAGGTAGTAGTTTAGGTGTACATACTTCTCATGTAGTTGATAGGCGTTGGGAGGTGGATTGGTGTCCCAAAGGGGAAAATGAAGATTTTAGGAAAGAGGAGAGATATTGGGGGAAAAAAACGCAACAGTCATAAATTCTCATAAGAATTATAGACCGAGGTAGCCAATAGAAAAATTCCATGGAGCTAGCCACCCCCATGCCCCAGTTATATGCCAAGAAAGACCCACAGACTGCATCATGTCTCCCGTTTGGCTGTCACGTATATCCTTCAGAAAAAGCCCTGTGCAAGTTCTGAGACCATTAAGAGCTAGACAGCGTTAGAGCCTCACTCCCATTCGTGAATGCGTCCCAGTACCACGGTTCACTAACCAAGCCACCGTAGGTTGGCTGTCGCTGACTTGCCCTCCCGCGCCCAATAGACGCGGTTTTCTATGGCTAGCGCTTGTTGGTTTTTTCTTTTCTCTTTTTTTTTTTGCTCTTTCGAATCTTTCCCATCCCCCTCCTTCCATTCTGTTTTCCCATCCTGTCTACCTACCTACGTAGCAGGTAAGTAGTAGCAGGGTAGTGTTAGCCTCTGCGGCGTAGTGCTCCTGCAGTGACCCTTTCTCCGATGAGAGTGATTGGATCAGGTCGAGGTTGGTGGGAATAGGAGTGTCTCTTCATCGTTGCCAGCGGGTCCGACGTTTGACCTTCCCTTACATCCCACCGGTTAATGATAGATTGCGTGCTCTTCGCAGTCGAGGTCAAACTTTACTAAATTGACTTTTGTTTTTTGGATAAAATTAATTTGGGCGTTGAAATTACTTTGTATATCGAGTCACGGACGGGGGGAAGATATCTTCCCTTCCATACTCACGGTCGAGACCTCAAGAACCCCCAGGCGAGATAATGATTTAATTTAGGTGTCGGAGCGGCCATCGGACTAGTATCCCACAGCTCCACAGCTCTAGATGAGGATGTCCTTGAGCAGGGGCGTCGTCTGATGTTCCCGCCAGCGGCCGAACTGAACCCTGCAAATGCTTCGTTTCGGTCTTCCCGCAAGGGCCTATCAGCTCCGGGAAACCGAACTCTTCTTATGCAGTGGCAGGGCTGCAGCATAGCGTGTATTACGTGCAATTTTCTTTTTCTGTTTTATTTCTTTCTTTTCAATTTTACGTTTTTCTCATTTATTTTTAATAATGCCTTTTTAAATTCTTCATTCCATTCCATTTTATTATTTTTCGTTACTTACCTACCTCAAGGCTCTTTCCTGAATTCGAAATGATTCTCTCTCTTGATGGAGAACATCCACCTCCATAGATTTATTTCATTCATCTAGAAACGAATGAAATCTCCCATATGCTTGGAAGGCAATCCTTTGACACATTTTTTTTCTTTCTTTAATCCATTCTTGGACCCATATTTATCGGAGGTTATTTGGATATACCCCCGATTAGATACGGAGTATGGGTCACTGTACCTAGTAGTAATTACTGCTTGAGAGAAAAAAACGTCTCCTTACTGGATGGACCTCTGGTCCAATCGCACGTCGTCATGTATACTTACGACAATGGTCTGCTGTCGGGTAGAGAAGTACTTACAGCTATATCTTGCATTCTTCTGTGATGATTTGTAATTCCGAGTTTTGGACAATCTTTCTTCATCGTACCTTTTTTCATTTTCGGAGGGGGTTCGTTAATCCCTAACAGTTCCAAAGGACTATCTATACCTAGGTGCTAGTAGTAGAACGGCATTTCCTGATTAAGGTACCCCAGAGACGTTCTTTGTCTTTGTCCTGTTATGATTAATAATTTCATTTCGTTTCCATGGTTTTTTGTTTTTATTTTATTTATTTATTATTATTATTATTATTATTTTTCATATCACACTTGTTTGGACCCCTTTCTGGGAAATCCCCGCGTGGCCAAAAGACCACATCGTGGCTATTGTATCATTGGTTTAAACAGTTGGATCTTTACCTGATAGTCATTCGACCGAAGGCAAAAGTTGGGTCCCCATTGACTTTGAACTGGTCAATTTTACCGGTCCGACGATTGCCTGTTCGACCCTCCACCTTAATGATCATCCGTTGAAGGATATCGTCACCTCTGATGGGCCAAACCGAAATACCAATTGTTCTTTGACTCTTGCGGCTCCTTCAGACCCTCTGGTTCTGATATATCCTTGCCGCAGATTGCATGAACTAGACTTGTGTTTCTTTTCCCCTCCTACTAGTGGATCCATCTTTGGAAACAAACGATATTTTTTTTTTTAAATTTTTTTTTTGAGAAAGAAACTGCAAAAGTATATCAAAGAATTGGAAATACATAAAATACCCGGTTCAAAGGTCGGTGGCTGTCCTGCACGTACATCCTGCAAGTTGTCTGCCAACGTGACCCTTTCTTTCAACATCTCCACTTGCTTCATACACAGTACACGATTCAGTGTCCGAATACCCTTCTCTCTCTTTCGTGGAAAAACCAAAAATATCACAGAGACCTAAAGATTAACAGGAAAAAGAAAATTGGCGAAGTTTCTATGAATTCTCAACCAATGTTGATGCGATATTTCTTGCATATAGAACAGAAGAGGATACCTACGCCTCATCGAATTTCTATTTGACATCCTATTCACTCTTTTCTTTTCTTCTCATACCTTATTTCATTGTTTTATTTTATTTATGGTTAAAAGCCGATTTTCGGCTGTCCTTTCTATTATCTATATTTTAACCCCCCCTTTTCAAATCTTTAATTGCTTCTATAGGCAGATGCTTGCAAGGTTACTGTCGTGGTACTAAGGTCAAGGACTTGGAAAAGGCATACAGGCATTACCAGGAGGGAAACCACTCCGACATACACCACCCACCACCCCCCCAACGCATATTACTCCTCCTTCTCCAACATCTTGAATCACTACCCTGCTACTGCAGGCGCTACGCATCACTTCGGAATCATCCTGTACCCGCTGTAGCAGTGATTGTCTCCCGACTGGACAGGGGGCGCAGTCATCTTCGGGGTCTCTTACAGGCCGGCGTGTCCCAAGGATTCGGTACGCTGCATGGGTTAAGCACAACTAACGGAACCCTTGGCGGCCATTGCTCTCATTTAAGAATCCAACCCGGTGTCTCGTGCGGTGTTGGAAATTCCAAGGTTTTTTTTTCTTTTCCAGCCTTCCATCGTCTAATTGGGACTTTTACATAAAATCCTTCAGACCAACACTCCTTCTGGAAGCGTTGTTGTAGTGGCTGAGGAATATTCTTGGCTCGTCGCCAAACTAGACCACCGCTCTTTTTATTCGGCGTGTCTTGCCTACTACTCATCTCCCTATCTGCCACTGCCGCTGTGCATTTGCGTCTGACCAGTGTGGAAAAAGTGCCTTCGGCTGTGTTTATCGCCTTGCACCTTGCTTTGACCAAGCCTACTTGAGCACTCGCTCTAGAAGAAAAGCTTCCCTTACCATCCAACCTACTACCCTATCGATCACCACACTAAAGCAGTTGGATCACGAAGGTCGTAAACCACCTTCCCAACAGAACACAATGGAACATCTTCATTCGCAATCTCCTGCTAGTTATATGCCATCATCACGAAAAAGCCGCATGGCCATCGATGCCCTGCTGAACCCGTCAGCAGAGTCTGAAAATTCTCCTCAACTGCATTACGCCCATCCAGGATCGCAGTATTCACCTATCTACCCTCCCAGTCCTAGTCATCACTACTTCTATCACCCATACACAGATAGCCACCATCACCACCACCATCCTTACCGGGAAAGTTCTGGCTCCTCGCAAGACCAGGCGTTCTTGCCATATCGACCACGGTCGACGGAGTCCTCGCCAGGGGCGTACTCTCGGGACCGGTACGACTCGGTCTCAAGCAGTTCTAGCAATGCCCCAGAGCGGCGACGGCCCCCTCGACCTAAGTACGAGGAAGAGGAAATGTACTTCATTTGGTATCACCGCGTGGATCTGTGCCAAGAGTGGAAGGAAGTGCGCGAGAGCTTTAACCGACAATTCCCTAGCCGGCAACGACGCGGATTCCAAGGAATCCAATGCAAATTCTACCGATTCATCAAGGAGAAGAAGTGCCCAACGCTGCGAGAGCAGAGACGCATGCGCGATGGCGAGTTCCTACGAGAGGGGTCAGGGCTAGTTGAGTCGGCCGCACCACGATTCGGTGTCGTGGAATGGATGGGAGCGTGGTATCCTTGGATGCGAGAAACCAAAGAACAAGTCCTCAGTCGACGCATATCACATTAAAATTTCTCCTCTTCTTTCCCCCAAAAATTCCTACCTCCTTCATTCCTCGACTCTCTACAGATCCTCCTCCCACCTTTGAAAAATCCCCTTCTTTACGGCCGTCAAGATACCTCTGAAGTTTCTCATCTACTTTATTTACTTCTTTCAACCTTATGTTCTTTTACCGACAGGGCTATCATTCTGACACGTTACTGCGTTCTTTTCTCTCATTTACATCGGTTTATGATTCTCACTGGGGGGCCATCTGATTTTTAGCATGCATACATCAAATCACCATTGTTTTTATTCTGGATTGAAAGGAAATCCATGGAGACTGTCATTTGTATTGGAGTGGATGAGATTCTTCATCTCGACCGAATTTACTTCTTTGAACCGACAAGACACATCCTTCGATTAATCACGTAGTCAGAGCGTACCGTACAATACCATACATGGCATCAATACCCAACACCACAGCATACAGTACAGTGCATGGCACACACACCAAAAAAAAAACCACCAATAGGTATGCAGCACAACATCAAAAAACCCAGCAGAATAATAAAGGTAGGAAAGAATAATATCATATCATAGGACAAGTATGTCAGCAAGTAAGCGAATAGGCGAAGACGAACCTCTAGTTCGAAACCCCTACATCTCTCATTCCCAGGGATCACAGGTAACACATGATATCATCTTACAACCCGCGAAGAGGCACAACAGAGAGCAAGGAGGAGACTATTTGTTCCCTGCTTGGCTGTTCCCTGCCTGTAACAAATGCTCCAGGGGAAAACAAAAAATGAAAAATGATGGAAAGACGTGAAATATTCATGACAATATTGTCGCACTACATAGCTTATCGCAAATACCATGGTTGTCCATTGACGAAACCCGAACCGAAACCCCCCTACTTAATCTCAACTCTACATGTAACTCCTGTACAGTGTACTCTGTATATATCCAATCTTCTGCAGCGACCGCTGCATAATACTCAATATACATTTGACGAGGACGCCCGTCCATTCAATCATTTGGAATACATGCAAATAGTCAGGATCTACAGAGTACTCGGTCGCTGATAACACGTCTCCAATCATGCAGACCAGTGCAAGTCGCCCCTCTTGCCGAATCCAGAAATCGCCCTTCTATGCATCCGTGATGGAAAAAATGCTCCACTTTTGCACATCGACATGGATAGGTTGGGTACCTAATTCACGTTCATTGGAATGTGATGCTTGGTATGTTGGACTTATAGGGATGCGGAGATTGTAGGGTTAAGTTGGGTAGGGATATCCCTCACTTGGCATTTAGTTTTGTTTTACCTTTCCTCGTCTGCATGGTGAGACTGCAGATGGGCTTTTTGTTGGCTTAGTCGATGGTCTACGTTTCTTAGTGTGTAGATTGGGTTGGTGTCTACTCGTGTAGACTACCTTTTCTTTTCTTTTCTTTTTTTTCTTTCTTCTTTTTATGTTTTTACTTTTTCTTGTTCGTGAAGGAAATGATCTACTGTGGAGGTTCCGATTCGAATATCCTGGCCCTTTTCCGTAGATCGCCTAGATATGTAGATTTGGATTGAAGTTTCATCTAGAGTGAGAGAGAACATATAGCATAGCTAGAAGGCCATCTGGACCTCATTTCATTTCGTACTTTGTACCAGTACCCTTACGATGTTGCATTTAATGCATGCCTGGACCAGGGTTGATCCCCCGTCCGAGACATGAAGGGTGCAATAATCATACGAACTGTACTGCACATGCTGTGTGATCAAGTCCGCATGCAGAAATGAAGGTTACTCTGCAGAATCAGATTCGGTCTCATCATCTATCTGTCCTCGTCTACATCTGCAGAATTGCGGTGAGTGAAGGGAAATGGGCAGGAGGACAAGGGAAACGGTGTCGGATGGTGTGTTGCCTCCCACCCCTGCCGAAGGTTTCTCTTTGCCAAAGTACCGTGCAGAACAAGCACCCAGGTCCAATAGAATAATCAATGTAGCCATCCGTCGTTGTGCTCATCACCAGCTCTCGTCATCAGAGTCCACGTGCGTCCGTTGTCCAAGTCCGTATCCGTAACCATACCCAAAGCGCTCACTGGATGAATCGTCGAAGTTGAACTCTTCGTCATCCGACTGGTGGCGTCGATACTTGCTGTAGACGGCTCTGGGATCGTCCTCTTCGTCGTCCCAGGAAAGTTCTTCGTCTGGATAGTCATTCGCAGGGTTATTTTCAGCTATAGTAATTTGTTAGTCAGATTTCTCTTTGCCTTTCCTTTGCTTTTGAGAAGCGTGGATCTCGGGTTGAATCTATGCGACGGACTTGCTTACCGTTGGAATCGCCGTCTTCACTGTCCCACTGATCTTCATCGTCATCCTCTTCTGCAAAATGCTCCCAGTATTCTTCATCCTCCGGTGTGATGACGATCACACCGATGTCCTGGCGACTCGTATCGATCCCCTTTTGACGGAACCACTCGTCTTGGTTCAGTTCCAAATCCGCTAGTGGGTTCATAAGCTGTCCTCCATCCGGCAGAGGACGCCTGATGTATGTATCGTAGACATACTCCCCGTCACTATCATCATCCTGCCCTGCAGCGGAGGGTAAATGGTGCGGTGCTGGTGTGGCAGGCTTGATGGATCCTTCAGGACTCGCCGCCCCTTGCGTGCGTTCTGCAGAACTCGCGGCTCGAAGCTTGTTGGGTGTGCGAGGAGGATATTTCAATGGAGGCTTGGGCATCACCGAACGAGTCCGCTCGGCAACAGATTGACGATTATGTTTCGTCTCCACGGGCGACACCTCTGTTTCCAATTCCAATTCCCCCTCGAGCTCCAATGCGATTTGCTCGAAGTCCCGAGCCAGCCTCTCTGACTCGTCTTCCCAGTTGCTGTGGCGCGCTTGGGCCCCTTGTTCGAGCACCTGCGAGATATGCTTTTTGGCAGCCAAGATCGCCCCCTTACGCTCCTCCCTCCATTTTCTTTCAGCTTGGTTCACCACCGGTCTCTTCCGTAGACGGACAGGCTGTTCATCAGCCACATCGGAACTGTCACGAGAGCCAACATCATCCGCTCGCACGGCCGCATCAGCCACCAAAGACGCCTGCCGTGAATGCGGTTTGCGCTGAAGCTTCTCCACGAGCACTGCAACCTTGTCTGCTTTACGTTTCTGTACCCCTCCACCACTGCTTCGGAGGGGACTCATCGGCGTACTTGATCTCGAAATCTGGAACCGTCGCAGCGACTGCGCCCGTGATGGAGAAGATGCCGAACTGTTTCGCGCACTTGAGGTGGATGACACCCCAGCCGCGGGGGTTTCAGCAACGGAATCTCGACTTGGGCTTTCATTGTGAGTGCCGCGTTGAGCGGGTCCCGGTAAAGAATCCAAAGCCCTCTTCACCTTCTCCTCGGCTTCCTTCCGAAGGGCCGCAAGACGTTTTTCTTCACGAAGTTCTGCCCCGGGGGATGTGGCTCTGACCAAGGGAACCCCCCCGGTAGCACGGTTCAGCACATTTGGGGATAGAGAGGCACTCACAGAGCGCGGAGTGAGAATTGACCTCTGCGCCGCTGATATGGGTGAAGCACTCGGGGAGCCGCCTTTCAGATCCTTAGCACTAACCTGGACTCGCTGGAACACGAAGTCTGTGAAACGGCGTTTCGTCTGATGTAGATCAGACTGGATATCTGTAATTTCCTATTAGCTTTTGGTGGCCATTACAAAACGGGGCATTTCTATGCGGATATACAAAGCGGGGGATCGGGGGCTTAGTTTGATCGGTACAGGCTTGATAGCTAGCAAAGGATCAGGGAAGCTACTTACATAACGTATCCACTGGTTCCTCCTCTCGACGGCGTTTGATACTGATCTGTTCCGGAGGTAAAGACATTTTGAAAGTTTATAAGAACTTAGCTTTGCTTGGTATAGATTAGCATTGATGGCGAAGGAGAAAATGGCGACAACGACAGTTTGGGATGATCTCCAACATTTCTTCAAGTTCCATGGTTGGGCTAGAAGGGGCTTAGCGTGACCACGGCCATGTATAAGATCACGTGATCCATTGTTGACTCTTTACTCGGTTCGGATGGGCAGCATTCAACCGTTTGCCAACAGACACCCAAAGCTACTTGAGATACTACTCATGGACACGATGCGATAATGACAAGTGTAGATCATTGCTTTTCATATTTCTTCTCTTATGCTATATTTCTCGATGGCTACTGCCATCGCCATCCCGAACCTATTACCTCCGCACAGCTATATAACCCCTGTCCGTCATCCAATATGCAAAAGGAGCTGTTTGCTCTGGATTAATTCCGTCAAAATGGCATCGCATATGCAACTGAGCAGAATAAACATCAAAGAACAGACCAGAGCCAACCAGTCTAGGGTATAGCCGAGATCTCACCCGCCTTCGTAGCCAACTGGAAATCGAAATGGAAACAACCAAAAGAAGAATGGAAGGGGAAAGGGGATCATACCCAGCTAGCAATACAAGGATGGTATAAAAAAGATAATTAAAGGGTGTAAGATGGGTTGGCTGAGAACGAAATTTGCACAATAATAATAATAAAAAAAATGATAAGGAGGAAAAGAGAGAAAAACTGTCGATCAAACCAATACAAAGAAAGTAATCAACGGGTGGTGTTTTCAAAACAATAGATGAACATGATGAAGAGAAAACGTAAAGTAAAAGAGTTTAATAGTTAAAAAGATGATGCACCCACAAGAATGGAAGAGGAAATTCTTTCAAAATATTAAGATGAAATTATTTGGCTCCGATCTCTTCCTCAGCCCAGCCGGGTAGCGAATTTTCGTTCTGGATGGCCAGTCCAAACCCGGCATGGTTGAGACCGCCCAAGGCAGATGTAAAGCTGGAGAAGCTACTCTGCGGTTGGTGAGCTACACCTGCACGGCTATGTCCAGCCTGGCCCGAAATAGGACCGAATGGCTCCTGAGAGAAGGACGGCAAGCTGACGGCACGAGAGTGCTGCGCGCGTGGCACGCTTAAGCTGCTGGTGCTAGCAGTAGTGTGATGCCCGGGGCCGCTAGAGCCATTAGTGACGTTCAAAAAGCCGTTGGTAGACGGCTTGTGTTGATGCAGCGGTGCTTCGATGCTTCCGTTAGTGAGCTCGCTGGTAGTTGTACTGCTGTAGAGGGGCTGTTGCTGAGGGGCCGGCTGGGACTGGGACTGAAGAGCAGCGAGGGAGATAGAATCGTTCAAGCGGTTCTCTTGTTCTTGAGCTTGCTGGGCGGACATTTGGTTAAGATACATGGTTAGCGGGTTGTTGGCCCCCACGTTCAACATCCCAGACGGCGATGTAACCGTCTGCAGCGGGTGCCGGCCCTGCTGGCCATTCTGAGAGCCTGTCGAGCCTGGGGCAGGAGAGAGGGCTGAACGGGTTGGGCTGGACCCTGAGCCAGAATGGCTCAGGTTCTGCTGGAAGCCATTGAGTGCCGGTGAGGGCGACTGCGGGCCTTCCAGTCCACCGTTGCGATTTTGCTGTCCACCGTTACCCGTCTGGCGAGGCGGGTTGCCGCAACGATCCTTGCCAAAGTTAATCTTGAACCGCTTGTACTCCTCCCTGTTCCGCATCCCCTCAATTGCCTTGATGGCATTGGCAATATTGGTAAAGTTCACGAAAGCACAGCTTTTCTCGCGCAATGTGTTCACCAGCTCGATCTCTCCGTATTCAGAGAAGTCTTGGCGAAGACGTTCCTCCGACCAAGACTCATCGAGGTTGCCAACATAGACGTTTCGCGAGGCACCGCCGCTTACAGCCAGAGCAATGGCTGGGGGTAGGGGACCAGAGTGCTTGCCCCAGCCGATCTTCAAGCGACGGTTGTGAATCATTAGACCCTGGAGGTTACTCAAGGCATAGAAGGAGGCGGCCGAGGTCGGGTCAATGAAGGTAACGAAGCAGATATGCTTATCGGGGATGTAACGGATATGATGCAGAAGGCCACCGCGAACTACGTTACAAATCTCTTCAATAGTAGTTTCTGGATGGATGTTACCCAGATAGATCGTCCGGTTGCCCAGGTTGTTAACGCCACCAGCGGATGTAGCGACGGCTGCAGCTGCAACGGACTGTTGGGCGAGTGCGTTCGTGATTAGGTCCCGATCTGCCGAGTTCAAGATGTGCGCGTATCCTGGCGCGATGCCCAGGAACTGAGCTGCATTCTGTTGCTGTGTTTTGGAGACATATGCACACCGATCCTTACCGTAGAAGACACGCCTAGGTGCCTGCCATTTAGCCTCTTGGGGCAATTGAGAGACGGCTTTCATCGCGTTGCTGATTGACAGGAAATGTACAAAGCCAATTGCCTTTTCCTTCACAATCTTCACGGTATCAATCGGGCCAAACTTCCCAAGCTCTTCGCGTAACTCATCTTCTGTCATCTCCTCCGGCAAGTTGCCTAGGTACACGTTCCGTGACGCCCCCGACTGTTGCACCGCCAGGGCCACTGAAGTGGGCACCTGCGAGGGTTTGCCCCAGCCAACCTTGATGTCATTGCCTTTGATGGCGAGCTTTTTCAAGATAGCATCTGAGTGGAAGTGCGTTGCCGAGTTGCTGTCCAGGAAGGAGATGAAAGCGCAATTCTTGTCGGGGAGCAAGCGTACCGATTCAATCTGCCCGCTACGGACATGATTTAAGATTTCTTCGGCAGAAGTTTCCGCCGGAATATTGCCCAAATACACGGTTCGACTTGTACCCGAGAGAAGGCCCGGAGTTACCGACGCGGCGGGACTTCCGTACGCCACATTACCCAAGCCACCCATACCACCAACTGGTGATTGAGGGCCCCCCAGCAACTGGGAGTTTCCCATGCTATCCGCAGACATCATACCCGAGTACAGACTGGCATTCTGCGAAGCCTGTGTTGGGCTTCCCAGCGGATTCTGGTGGTTTTGCGCGTGCACCGAAGCATTGGCCTGAGAGAAACCACCGAAGTTGGTGAACTGGGGCGAGGCAAAGGCCGAAGGGGTTCCCGGTTGGAAGGGGCTTCCGAGCAGTAGTTGGGATGGCAACAGAGGAGTGAAGTTCATGTCAAACGCGGTGCCCGAGGCTGCCATAGTGTCGATGTTGTTTTGACTGGCGGCGGTATTGATGGCAGGAATATTAGCTCGACGAGCGTTCCGATCCGTCAGACCCTGCAGAGGGAGGCTATTGGAGTTGTACGCTCCGTGGGAGAAACCGGTATCGTCCGCGTTGAGGTGGGAAAACTTGGAAGGGATCAAACGACTCGGAATGCTTGAGGCATCGGAGGTTTGCATGGCGAGGAACACGAACGGTCCGGACGCGATAGCCCCCTAGCTAAGAGGGGACAAAGCAAATTGGGGCTAATGTGAAATGATCGATATCACCGGCCAGGGGGGAAAGGGAAGTGCGAGTTACAAAGACGTGGTAGGAATGGTCGGGAGAGCAAAAAGCCAACCGGCGTGAAGATCACCCCCGAAAGGAGAAAGGAGGAAGGGAATAAGTGAAGGAAAATAGCGGCCGAAAAGATGGCCAAATGAAGTCGAAACGAAAAGGAGGACGGAGAAAGAATAACAGCAAAGAAGCCTGGACAAGGGTAGGCCAATTGAGACGTGTCTAGAAAGAGGTCCAGCGGTCAATTGGAATGTGCATTGGACAATGTTCGGTGGAACGGTGACAAACCTCTTAGTTGGTGTTTTAGGGGCTCCGGGTGAACAATCCCCGTAAACAAGACCAACTTGTCAATTGAAGATTTGAGGGCAGAAAAAAAAAACTAAAAAAGAAAGGGATTTGATAATAAAAAAATAATAATACGATAAATAAGTAGTCAATCGAAATTAAAAGAGAAATTGATCAAGCAATCAAAAGGGAAATAGAAAAACACAGAAGATGGTAATTAAGAATATGGTCTAGTTAATTGAAAGAATAAGGATGAACCCCCAATTGCAGAACCCAAGAATTGTTGTTGACAAAGGGAAAGGCCAAAAAAGGACCGATGGGGGACATCCACTCAGAAAGCTGAAAAGGGAAAAGTGGAACTGACAAAGAGAAATGAATGAGAGAAAATAATAATTGTTAATAGTCTCGCAGAGGCGGAGGAGAGAAAAGACAGTGGAGGAGAGGAAAAACTACGGGCCCCCGAAAAAAGGGGCTGTTCGTAGCGTGAGATGAGCTTGATAAGAGACTATATGAGTGACAGCGCACACTTTCTTGCTCTTGCTCTCTCTCTGTCTCTCTCTCTCTCTCTCTTTGTTTTATGTTTCTTTTTCTTTTCTTATTTTTTTTATTCTTGCTTTTCCTCTTCTCCCCAATGTGTATACAGCATGCACTGTACACCTGGCAAAATGAATCTTACCCACAACAGGAAAGAACAAAAATGCACTCAAAAGACATTCGACTCAATGGGAAGGAAATTAAATGAAAACCAAGAAAAAAGAAATTCACTGCAAATTACTAGTGTGTAGTAACGAACGTGGAGAAGAAAAAGAAGTATGATTCAATAATAATTCACGTAAGACCAGCATTAACCAGAAAGAAGACTCAGCAAAATGCTGAAGAGTGGATGAAGGGGTAAAAAGGGGAAAGTGAACAGTGAACCAAACATCAGACAAGAGGCTGGAATAATAATAGAAATTAATGTCCCTGTGGAGTGAAGATTGACATTCGTACCTGACTGGTTGAGTAAAGCGTCCCCAGAGCCGATGGGGAAAACCACAATCTCCATCTCCATGTCATTCTGCTAGTCAGACCATAAGCTGCAATTCATCTTGTACAAAGATCCTCTCTGCCAATAATACCAGATCATCGTGTCCAAGCGAAATGTCTTTGATGTTTCGTCAAATATCCCTCAAGGCTATCCGTGCGGTTGTCACAAGGCTGTGGCTGACACAGCCTAAAAGAAGAGAAC